CCCGCGAGGTATGCCACGTGCCCGCGTCCCAGCGTGTGGAGTCTGGGGGCGGCCGGGGGGATGGCGGTAGCTTGGGACGGGACGGGTGTGGCCGTGGGAGGACGTGCTGGTGAGATGAGTCTGGCGTCGCCCTTGGACGAGCACTGGTCTCTCCTGAGTCCCGACCGGTCTGCGGCACCGGAGCGGGCGCCTCATTCTCCTGAGCTCCGAAACCCACCCCCGGTGACGCCTCGCGATTTCTCGGAGTCGCAGTCTGACACTTGTAGTGACGAGCGCTTGGGCGCTCACACCCAGGCAACCTCGCAGCCCTGTTGACTCCAGCTCCAGCTCCAGGCGCGGGACCCCGTCTATTTCTCAGTCCCCACGCTCGGTCATAGACTTGCAAGATGCTCAGGGCCAAGGTTTCCCGCCTGGTGTCACCTCACACTTCCCCGTGCATCTTTTGCAGCTCTCAGTGATTCCCAATGCTGTCAGGATAACGCCCAAATACCTTTAGAGCCTCAAGTGTTTCTATTTCGTCCCTGTTCTAGTCTCGCGGTTTTGGTTTTTGCCTCGGTGATGCCGGGCCTTCCTTTTCCTTGTGTAGACCAAGCGATTTCTCATCTTAGAACCAGTACCAGTTTGTTAGATTTGCTTGGAATTCTGCTTGTCCCCAGTCTCCAAACTTTGACTCAGCATAGATATCATCCTTTCTAAGATGCCGTTTTTGATGTCCTGGATAAAGGGCCATCTCTGGCATCCACGGCCCCTGCAGTAGCCCTGTGGTGGTTGTCTGCCCAAGGATTGGTTTCCTTGAAGATTGAGGTGGGAGCAGATGAGTTTCTGCACTTCCAGCGCTGGGCTGGTTGAGCCACAGTACCCGTTGATCTCTTGTGACATCTTTCAGAGGATCTGAATGCTGAGTCAGGTGTGGAGTGTCCAGGGAAACTGATGGTGAAAGCGATCAGTGTGTGTTGCCTATTGGTACCCGTTAGCCATGTACAACTGCTAAGCGTTGCTTCCATGAATCTGTCTTCCATGTCCATCAGTCAGTTCAATAACTATTGTGTACCCACTCCCCATTATCACTGTTGACAATGGTACCTAGTCTTTCATCCACTGCCTGCTCTTGCCGGCTTTAATTACAATGTGGTGTTTTACCTGATGGAATGCGCTCCTCAACCACTGGTACCCCTGTTGCAGCCATGTCTCATCATCTGCTCCAGTATAAGTCTCTTCAACTTTACACCTAATAGGTATCTAGCCTGCCAAGATGCCAGGGCCAAGACCTCAGAAGGGCCCTAAGACCAGAGGCCAGGGTGCTGCAACTGCCAAGCAGGTATGGACATGATCTCCTTTACCTCAGGGTCAGCTTGGGGTGGGCATCTCTAGTCACTTGTGACAAATTGATTCACTGGTGTGGTGACTTTTTAGTCCATAGGTAGTGCTTATGGTGGTGAAGGCCTTAAGAGTTCAGTGACTGGAGCCTCATCTCTCTTGGGTTTCAACTCTGCCATCCTGTTGTGGCCATACCACATACCACCTGAGTGTTCAGGAGCTACCAAGGCATAGATTGTTCTGAGACCCAAGTGTTCTCACAGGTTCCTTATTTAGGGTGATAACTGTGTTCGCTAGCTCTAGGGTGCCAGGACTTTAGGGCTATAGCCAGTGGTAGTCAGTTGCTGCCCACGGACAAAGGGGCAGACATTAGTGAGGGAATCTGAAGGAGGTATATCCTCCATGTTTTCTGCCTTTATTTCCTCTGGGTCTTAGACTGTTTTTATTGTCTTCTGGAAGCAGGTAGGCTGGGCTTGGTGGGCCACAGCCAAATCCCAGTACTTTGGAGGCAGAAGTAGGAAGATGACAAATTCAAGGCCACAATTCAGTGGGCTACATAAGCAAGTTTCAGGTCACCCTGGACTGCATAGCAAGCAGGATTCAAACAACAGAACAGGTGGTGGCTAGAGAAATGGCTCCGTGGTTAAGAGTGCTTGCTGTTTTTTCAACAGAATGGGATTGAGTTCCTTCCACCCACTTGGTGACTTACAACCACGTGTCACTCCAGTTCTAGGGGATTTGACACTCTTTTGGCCTCCATGGGCACTGTAGCCACACAGTGCACATACATACATACATGTGGGCAAAACCATGATAGATATAAAAAGAAACAAAATTTAACAAATCAGAACAGACAATAAAAAATCAGTTAAGGAATGGTTTGGGATACAGGGCATACATGTCATTAAAACCTTATTTTAAATTATTTTAATTTGTTGTCCAGAAAGTTTGGGTTATTACTGAACATTGGGGTAAACTAGTACCCATATCTGCCTAGAATATTCAAAATAATGGACACAAAATAAGGTAGAGAGAGGGGAAGATGAGTTAGTGTTTAATAGGCACAGAGTCCGTTGTGCACATGATTGTGTGAATAGATAGTAATGATGGCTGCATAACAGTGGGAATGTGTGATATCACGTAGCTTCATGCTTGCAAACAGGTGGCATGGCAGATTTCATGCTGTGTGTTTACTACGATTAAAAAATAAATGTGTCCATGTGTATAATCCCAGCACTAGGAAGGCTGCAACAGGAGGATCATGAGTTCAAGGCCAGCCTAGGTTATGCAATGAAAGCATGTCTCGTTACCTCCTAACCCCCCCAAAAAGGTTAAGGGTGTGTGTATGTGGTAGGGTCTCTGAGGATGGTGAGAATTGACTAAGTTGTGAGTAATGCTAAGTGTTATGGCCAGCAGCTGTTGTTGTTGTTAATTAATAATGGTGATACTGATGTCTTACTGATTTCTTAAAAAGTTCTCCATGTTTTATGACTGTTTACCTATCTGCTCATTGGGCCTCAAAGTGAGTAGGGATGGAATTCAGGGCTTGCTAGGCAAGTACTCTTCTCCTGAGTTGTAGTCCCAGCCCTGTTTGTTTTCAAGTTGTCTAGGCTGACTTTGAACTTACCATGTATCCCAGGCGTGTTTTGAACCTGCAGTCTTCCCACCTCACACTTCTGCAGTGCTGGGATCATAAGCATGGGCCACAACACATAATTGTATTTTTTTTTTTTTTAAGAACAGGGTCTCATGTATAGCCTAGGTTGTCCTTGAACCCTGATCATCCTACCTCCCCCTCCCAAGTGTTGGAATTACATGCATGTGCCATCATACCAGGCTGCATTATGTGATTCTTTTTGTATATTTATTTTGTGGGCTGGTCTCGAGTTCTAGCCTGGAACTCACTATGTAGACCTGATTGGCCTTGGACTTGGAATGGTTCTCCTGTCTTAACCCCTTGCGTTGTGGTTCACTATGTGATTTGAAAAAGAAAGTTACTTAGGTATATGTATATGTGAACATATGCCCTGTGTGGGTGTCCATAGGCCAGGAGAGTGCATCAGATCCCCTAGAGCTGGAGTTAACAGCAATTGTGAGTCACCTGATGTGGTGCTAGGAACTGAACTTGGGACCTCTGCAACAGGAAGAAGCATTTTAGTGCTGAACCATCTCACCAGCCCCTATAATGTGCTTCTTGAGAATCCTCTGAGGGCTGGAAAGATGGCTTTTCTATTACGAGCACTTGGGTGTGGTTCCCAGTTCACACATGGTAGTGTAAAACAATCCATAACTTCAATTTCAGGGGATCTGGCTTCTGACCTCCATAGGCACCAGGCATATATTCATACATGCAGACAAAACATTCTCACACATAAAATTATAAAATCTCTTTGCCATCTGGTGGTGACTGACACATACCTTTGATCCCAGCACTTGAGAGGCAGAGGCAAGCGGATCTCTTGAGTTTGAGGTCAGCCTGGTCTACAGAGAAAGTTCTTGGACAGCCAGGGCTACACAGAGAAACCCTATCTTGGAAAACAAAAATAAAGTCTTTTTTAAAATCTGTTTTTAGCTAGGGCTTTTTGTGGAGTTCAACACTGAGGACATGCTCCTGGGAATGGATGAGACTGAAGATGAGGGAGACCTGGAGGCTGAGCTATTGGCTCTCACTGGGGAAGTGAGGAGCACAACCAAGAAGCCAGCACCCAAGGGGCATGGTGAGTTTTTACACCCTGGGCTGGTGCAGGCCCATGGGGGAGAGGGTCCTTTCCTTACAGCCTGGAAGAATCAGTCAGCCAGCTCCCCTAGTTCTTTTGATAATTATATCCTTCCTTTAGTTCAGCCACAAAAAGGTATTTGGAGCTTCTTCCCCTTCATGGACAAATCTGATTCTAGCCTAGCTCAGTGTTAGTCCTACTAGGGCTTCATATACAGTAGAGGCGATTAGCACTGACAGATTGTGTGCGCAGTAAATAGACATGATGTCAAAAGAGTAAGTGAAATCTCCCGTTTGGTATCAGAATAAGGAGTCTGAATATTCTGCTTTGCAGGAACCCTCACGGGCATCCTGTATGTCTTTGAACTAACGTCAGTGCTGTGACTGGGAAGGGCTCACTAGTCTAGCCCTGCTTTGGGGTTAGACAAGCCTAGGTTTGAATGTCACCTCTTACTAAGATTGTGGATTTGGGGACATGATGTTGGTGCATCTTAGTGTATTCAGTATAGAAAATGAGGATGATGTTGTCCATCTTCCAGAATTGTAAGTAGTAAGTAACTTGAGTAGATGTGAAAACCATTTACAAATGTGAAAGGCATAGAGGGGGAGTATATTTCTATCTACAAGCAGAAAGCAGGGAAGGGAGCAGCTTGTTACTTGTTGGAGAGCTCAGGAAGGCATCTATAGCAAAGGGTCTTTTGAGCTGGGTTATGAAAAAAGAGTTCTGAGTGGGCCTTTGCTGTGGAAGGGATGGGGACATGTCTACCTGGGGTAGTGAGTATAGAGAATTAAAGACCCTCCTTTGCCGCCCAGCACCTCACTTGAATCACTCTTTCCCCAGCCCCCCTGCCCATGGCCCACATTGAGGAGTTGGCAGCAGACTGCATGCGAGATCTGGAGGAGGAGGGCGAGGAAGATGAAGGGCTGGAGGAAGATGCAGAGCTGCTGGTACGTTTGCCAGGCTGGTGTCCAAGGATCCGCCCTGGCATGGTAGAGGAGAGAGCTTTTGAGGGGCTGGGGTTTGTTCCTCTTTGCCCCAGACTGAGTGAGCACCCTTCCTTTCCCAGGCAAGACCTCATGGCTATACAGTAAGAGATCTGTCTCCTTTGACTTTTGGCCTGAGCTCTGCAGTTTGGAATTCTCAGATTTGAAGTCTGTTTTTATCAGACTATATTACCTTGACCATATTAAAGACCTGTTGGTAAAGAGCACTAAGCTCAGGATTTGACAGTGACAGATACTGCTGGAGACATGAGTCCTTTAACTTTTTTCTAGTCATGAGTGGCTATGAGGCACCCAAACTTCTTGGATTGTGTTTCCCCAGACAGAGCTGCAGGAAGTCCTGGGAGTGGATGAAGAAACTGAGCTGCTAGATGACAGGGAGGCAACAAGCCCAGACTTGTCTGAGGAGAAGGCACAGGACAACACTGAACAACCTGTAGTGCAGACAGCCTTCCAACAGGCTCTACCTGCAGTGCCCCAGGTAGGTTTTGCAGAAAGGCCCTAATGTGTCCTTGATGCTCCTGTGTGTCCCAAATAGTATGCATGAAGCATGGTTTACACAAGCAGAGTTGCCTCATAGCAGCTACTCCACATAGAAAGCAGGCATGAGAAACTTCCATAGCTGGCAGACTTCAAAGGCCTTCCCGTTCCAGGCCACTCCTGGACATCATTCCATGGCCTCTACTGATGCGGAGGGAGAGGGGAGCTCTGTTTGCCTGAATTAGTGTCTGGCCTCTCTTGTGGGCTTTGCCTCAAACTCTGGGGGTTTAGATACTTCTTTCTCCTGGAGTCCCAGAGATCCGTCTTCTGGGGTAGCTTCCTCACAGGGAGAGAATGGCAAGGGCCTAGCTGGCTACGGAGTGGCCCAGCCCTGAGCTGAAGTATCTGCAGGCTGGAGGGCCTCGGGGGCTGCAGGCTTTGCTGGAGGAAAGGATCCATAACTACCGGGAGGCTGCAGCTAGTGCCAAGGAGGCTGGTGAAGCTGCCAAAGCCCGGCGTTGTGAACGAGGCCTGAAGGTGAGTCGGGTTGTCTGTGAGGCAGACTGGGAGAGCAGGGCTGTGGGTAAGGTGGCAGTAAAGGGAAGGCCACTCACAGGTGTGATAAACATGGTGGGTCCCTGGCCTGTCTTCCAGCAAGGCCCAGGTAGCTACCTGCATTCCTAGTCTAATTCTTTCTTTTAGACTTTGGAGTCCCAGCTTGCCACTGTGAGGAAAGGTGGGAAGATCAGTGAGGATGAGATTCCACCTCCCGTAGCCTTGGGCAAAAGGCCTCCACCCCACCAGGAAACAGCCAGCAGAAACTCTGAGAAAGAAACACCAGCTCCCTGTGCCATGGAGCCAGGTATCTGAGGATATCCTGTTCTTGTTCCCAAAGACCAGCAGGACGTGGGGTGGGCTAGGGAGAACTCTAGCCAAGTTCTCTAAGGGTCTTTTGTTTTGTGTAGGCAACCTTTTCCAACCTGAGACCAGCCTCCCAGGCAGCTCTGCCATTGCTCCCCTGCCTGATGCAGACCTAGACCCACAGGCCCTGTTGTTAGCACGACAGAGAGAGTACAAAGTAGCTGCTCTCAATGCCAAGCGGGCTGGGGATCTAGATCGTGCCCGGGAGCTCATGAGGATTGGGAAGGTATGACATCCTGCTTTCATCCTGTAGATGGGGAAGCAGAGGCTCAGAGAGGGAGCCAGACAGCATCTGGATGAGAATTGTTTCAGGCCTGATGGGAATTGTTTCAGGCCAGGCTTTTGGGGTACCCTGGCTTATGCCTGTAACTGCTCTTCCTTTGCAGAGATTTGGTACTGTCCTGGAGGCCCTGGAGAAGGGGCAGCCTGTGGATCTGAGTGGCATGCCCCCAGCACCTGAGGGTCAGTCAGATAATGGGGGTATCTGCTTAGGCTGGGATTAAGGAGGAATATGAAATGTGTGGTTGGCCAGACACTCTGACTACCCTGCTACTCTGGGTCCCCAGATCTGAAGGCTCTCCCACAGGCTTCTAAGGCCCCCACAGCAACCCGAGTCCTATCCCCAGCAGTGGAGCAAGTGCAACCAGTGATGACCTCTGACCTCCCAGCCACCCCAGGTAGGACTTCACAGTGGGACAGTTGAGTGGGGGCCTGGGAAGAGGCAGGATGAGCTGATAGTCTCTTTTTACTACCTTCATAGTGGCCCCTGCAGAGCCAAAAACAGTGCTGGATGCTTTACAGCAAAGGCTGAACAGGTACCGTGAGGCAGGCATCCAGGCCCGGGCCAATGGGGATGAGCGTAAGGCCAGGATGCATGATCGCATTGCAAAGGTGAGCCTGTTGCTGTGCAGTCCCTATCCTATGCTGGCCTGTCCTGGCTGTGTCCTGCCTGTCTGCTTTCCTACAAGCCCTGGGCTTCTCCAAGTCCTTGTCTGTTTGCAGAGGTCTTGCTGCCTTGGGAGCACTTTCCTCCTAGGGTTGCAGCCTTTCCCTGTCTTCTCTCTCTGCCTCTCTGCAGTGAGGCTGCAGGCTGCTACAAATTCCTTCCTTCCTTTCCATGTAGCAATATCAGGATGCTGTTCGAGCTCATCGAGCAGGACAGAAAGTTGACTTTGCTGAGTTACCTGTTCCTCCAGGTGGGTGGGGTTTGGCCTATGGAACTTAAGAGGTTTCTGAGCAAGAAAGTAGGGAAAAAGAAATTTCACGTGTGTGTAACTCCACCCACAGAGCAGCCTCGGGTGTCCTTAATGCCGCTACCTTGCTCCCTCTCCATCCTGTTTTCTCAGGCTTTCCTCCCATCCCTGGCCTGGAGCCCAGTACAGGTGTCGAGGAGGATTCCATGGCAGCAACTTTGGCAACTGCCCAAAAACTGGCCTCAGAATCAGTCCTGGTAGATGAAGATGAGGAGGTTTGGCTATGGGCCCAGGATATCAGGGTTTGGTCAGGGGGACAACAGATAAGGAATAAACCCAGATCCTACTGTTGTATATTAATCTCATAAAATAGAAATATTTCCCTCTATTTTTGGGAAAATCTTTGCCAGAGGCAGAACTAGAATTCAGACCTGAGTATTTCTGACCCCCTCTCTTATGGTGATCCTTCTTGTCAGGGAAGTTAGGCTAGAAAGCTTTTGAGGTTTCTGTCTTTGAGTTCTATGACTCTGGATGCAAAGCCACTCCACTGAGGTCACACAGTGAATGGGTGCAGTGTTGGGAGGTAGCCAAAGTCTAGGCCAGGGTGGGGAATGTTAACTATTTCATAGCCTCCTAACTGAGTGCTACCTGCAGAGTGACGCCCCAGCACAGGCCCCAGTGGCCAAGAAGCCAGCACAGCCTCTGGCCCATTCATCTCGTCTTCTGACTGAGCCCAAGGCCTCAAGTTCTAAGGAATCACTGAGTCCGTCTGGTGAGTCAGGGACCGACAGGACAGACAGTGGTGGTGGTCCAGTGAGACAGGCATGGCCCTAACCATTGGCTTCTTTTAGCTCGGGAGCAGCTGGCACTGCTGGAGGCTCGGAAACTGCAATACCAGCGAGCAGCCCTGCAAGCCAAGCGCAGGCAGGATCTGGAGCAGGCCAAATCTCATTTACGAGTGGCTAAAAGTCTTGAGGCCCAGATCATCCAAGCCAGAGCAGGTCAACCCATTGACCTTTCCAAGGTGAGTGCCACCCACTGAAGCAGGAGGCTACCTCAAGCAGAGAGGTGGGGCCTGGTTGATGGGCATGAACTGGGGTGGCTTCTGGGTGGATGTAGAAGTTGTGTAGAATGGCGACAGCAGGGAAAGAGTCTTTTGCTTTTCTCCCTTTTGTAGCCTTGAGAATAGACCATTAGGGAGATAGAAGGGGAAAGGAATATGGGTTAACTGTGGTCAGAGGGGACATGGCAGCCAGTCTAGTAAAGCAGTGCTGTAGAGTCCAAGGTAGACTGGGAGGCAGTAAGTGCCACTGGAAGTTAATGGCAGTTGGGGGAAAAAAGTATAGTATGGATTCCTGTGTTTGTTTGGCTCAATAGAGGTGTAATGTGACTCTTGGGCCCGAGGGGCCTTATGATCTGGGCAGGTGCCTTCACCCTTGACGGATGAAGAGGGTGACTTCATCCTCATTCACCATGAGGATCTGCGACTTTCCCAGAAGGCTGAGGAGGTGTATGTCCAGCTACAGAAAATACTCCTGGAGCAACATGAGGTCAGTAGCCCGTGTTATCTATGCCTTCTCTGTCCTAGCATGGGTTCAGGGTCTAACTCTTCTCACTGGCCTAAGGTATGACCCTGAACAAGTCACTTTCCTCATTTGCAAAATGAAGCTACCCTTTTAAATTTTACTTTAGTTTCTTTAAACATGTATGTTTTGCTTACACGTATGTGTATGTATATCACATATGTGTCTTATACCCACGGAGGTCAGAAGACATTGGATTCCTTGAAACAAACTGGAGTTCTGGTGCTTGTGAGCCACTATGTAGGTGCTGGGAACTAGCACAGGTCCTCTGCTCTTACTTAGTGAGCATCTCTCTAAGCCCTTTTTCATGTAGTTTAGAAATTCAAACAGCAGAGTGAAGGGGACTGGGTTTTGTGAGAGGGAACTGACCTGAATTGCTGCCTTTTCTGAGAAGACAGAGTTCTAAGGTTCTTGCTGGAATTTGTTTTTTGATGGTGTTGATCGTTAAGACAAAATCTTGTATGTACCATGCTTTTCCTAGAACTCATCATGGACCACAGGCTGATTTCAAACTCAAAGTCCTTCTGCCTCAGCTTCCCAAATGCTGGAATTATAGACAGTGTCACCACACCTACATGAATTAAGTTTTGAAGGAAGGAGTTTGCAAATGAAGTTTTAGGAAATGGCTATCCTCAGAGGAAGCACCCAAGTGCAGGTAGAGCCAAGCATGGTGGGTGACAGATAACTGCAAAACCAGCACCTGGGAGGACGAGGCAGGAAAACGGTATGAGTTCCAGTGTGGGCTGTGTAACCAAGACCCTGTCTCAAACTGACAAATACATGGAAGCAGGAAAGTGTGTCAGGCTTTAGGAGGAGTGCCCTGGGAATATGTTTTATAGGAGAGCTTCAGCTAAAGAGGACTGTTAGGAGCTTTGAGAGGTTGGCCTTGCTAGCCTTGGCACGATCTGCTCTGGCTATGGAATCACACTGGGCTCCTGTTTCTAGAAGTGCCTGCTGTTCTCCAAGCAGTTCATGCACCAGGGCAATGTGGCTGAGACTACCCGGTAAGTGCCAAGGCTGTGCTGGGCTTGTTGGGTTAGGGACCAGATAACAAATCCTATCTTGCTGACTTGGTTACCTGTCCCTGGCAGGTTTGAGAAGCTTGCTCAGGACCGAAAGAAACAGCTTGAGATACTGCAGCTAGCTCAGGCCCAGGGCCTTGACCCTCCCAGCCACCACTTTGAGTTGAAGACCTTCCAGACTGTGAGGTGCCAAAGCCTAAGGGAAACTGTGGCTCTGTGCAGGGATAGGGCAAAAGGTTGGGAGCAGAGCATGGAGACTCTGGAGTCTTCAGTGAGACTTCCCAGTGCCATGGGGGGTGGGGTGGGGGTAGGGGTGCTGCCTTCAGGAAGGAGCTCAGAACTGCTGTGCCATAGAAATGGCTTGGAGCAGGAGTCAGAGACCAAGGACTGCCAGCAGTCCTTGCTCTGGACCTCTGTGCTGGCCCTTGTTCTGCTACTGTCTTTTTACTCTGCACTCTCTTGATTCTGGTCTGTAGGATCTTCTCAGAACTCAACAGCACAGAAATGCATCTGATCATCGTCAGGGGAATGAACCTCCCAGCCCCACCAGGTACCCAGGGTCGCCGTACTGAAGGATGTTGTCCACATATCCTACCTGATGCCTGGGTACCAGGCTCTAACTGTGCTTTCCCACCTGACTCCCTTTTTTCTCTGTAGGAGTGACGCCTGATGACTTGGATGCTTTTGTACGCTTTGAGTTTCACTACCCTAACTCGGTGAGGTTCTGATAGGGTTAGGACCCTCTGACCCCCAGTACTGTTTAGTTTCTCTGCATCTTTGAGAGGCATGGCCATAGGGACGGGTTGCTTTCCTTACCACTGATTCAGCCAAAGTGCTATGTGCATGCCTGTTTTTTTTGTTTGTTTTTTGTTTATTTGCTTTTTTGGGGTTTTTTTGATCGATTTTAACATCTGTCATCTTGCTGCTGTAGGACCAGGCTCAAAAAAGCAAAACAGCCGTGGTAAAGAATACAAACTCTCCAGGTGAGTGACATGTAAGACCTATTTTTGTTCTTCTTGTGTGGACAACCCAATTTCCAGTATTTTATGAGCTACTGTCTGTCTTGGCCCACCCAACTCAAAAATAAAGGCAGGCATTATTAATAGTTCTCTTACATAGTTGTGAATACTGAAGCCTAAGGCTGGAGGGCTCAGTGGTTAAGAATGTACTGCTTTTGGGCTGGAGAGATGGCTCAGTGGTTAAAGCACTAGCTGCTTTTCCAAAGAACCAGGGTTCAATTCCCAGCACCCATATGGCAGCTCAAACTGTAATTTCAGTTCTAGGGAATCCAACACCATCACACAGATGTACATATAGGCAAAGTACCAATGCACATAAAATTAAAAAAAAAAAAAAAAAAGAAGAAGAAGAAATGTAATGTTCTTGCAGAGGACCTACTTCTGGTCCCCAACACTCTCATTAGAGTTACATATCCACCTACCTGTAACTAGCCCCAGAAGGACACCATGCCTCTGGCATTCTTGGTCACTTGCACACACACACGTGCATACATACATACTATTAAAACTAAGACAGGTATTTTTCAGTTTTTTTTTTAGATAGGATCAGTATGTAGCTTGTAGCTCTGCCTAGCCTGGAATTCACACAGATCCATCTACCTCTGCTTACTGAGTGCTGGGATTAAAGGTGTGCACTACCACACCTGAAAAAAAAAATTAATGAAATTCTTAAGAAAAAGCAATTCAAAAACTGAGGCTTGAGGTTGAGTAAAGGGATTTGTCTGGGGGCTCAAAGCAAGGAAGTGTTAAAAGTGGACTTGAAGGCTTGTTGTGTGGTGGCTCACACCTGTTATCCTAATACTTGGGAGGCAGAGGCAGGAGAATCACAGCAAGGTTAATGCCAGTGTGGTCAATATAGTGCGTTCCAGGCTAGCCAGTACTACATAGTGAGACTGTCTTAAGCAGGGGTGAGGGAGATGGTACTTGAAGCCAGGAATTCTCACTCCAGATTCCAAGGGCTTTCCAATATATGTCTCAGATCACCAGAATATTTACAAGGCCAGAACCTATGTGCTCTTCCTTTCTCTGGTGACTGACACCCTAAATTGCAGGCAGTGAGCTCGAGAGAGGAAGCCTGCCCTGGGCTTCCTTTTCTGCTTCCCCAAGAATTCCAACCCTCTCCTTGCAGAATTTGAACAAGTTTTCAAATTAAACATCAATCGAAATCACCGTGGCTTTAAGAGGGTGATCCAGAGCAAAGGAATCAAATTTGAGATCTTTCACAAAGGGTAAGAATTCTTTCTGTCAGTCCCACTGGCAGGGGAGGAAGGGAGGAATGGCAGATCTGTTCCCGTTGTTCCCCATACCACTGTTTGCTTGCACTGAACTTGGCCAGTTCATTCCTGCCCTCTCTGTCCAGGCTAATCCTCTGCTATGTCTTGCCTTCCCAGATCCTTTTTTAGAAGTGACAAGCTGGTTGGCACAGCACACCTGAAATTGGAAAGGCTGGAGAATGAGTGTGAGATCAGAGAGATCATGGAGGTAGGGTCCAGGATGAGGTGATATCCTTGGAACTCTGTTTTCAAATTGTCTGAAGTGTGCTTTGGAATGGGCTGTGTCCCTGTGTCATGAATGGGGGAAGTAAAAAGTCTGAGCATCTTTCAAAGGCAGCCAGATGGGAAGAAGTCATACTCTTTCCATAGTCTGGGACTACTTAAGTTCCTAAGGGTGACAGTTGAGAGAAGATCCTGGAGGATTCTGAACAATGCTCGGCATGGTATAGATTTCTGTTTGTAGGACTGTGTTGTGCTTGGGGCAGTGGGCAGTAGCAGGAGGCAGAGAACAAGCTCCAAACAGGAAGTGGATATAGTATTTCTAGATCATATGTCAGTTGTGATTGAAAACTGGGCAGGTAGCTCCTTAAGCTTTTATAACCTTACAGGGTTATACAAACTGAGGTGCTTTAAGAATCTTCCTTTAACAAATGGGGAACAAGCCTGTGGAAAAGGGACTTGATAGTTCCTAGTTTGTCCTTAGCAGAGCCAGGTCCAGACAGACCTGGAGTTGTCCTAAGGTGGGGCCTAGTCTGAATTGCCCTGAGGGTGGTTGAATTTCTCAAGCTTGTTGCTGTATTTAACTATTCCCTTACCTGCCTTAAAGGAGGTCATGGCCTGAGTTCTACTTGTAATTGCTACCCAACCATCCACTTCTCTGTGGGCCATGTGTGAGGGTGTGGGCTCTGGGCTTCATTCTGCCCCTTGAAGCCAGTGCTAAATGTAGGAGCATTGATACTTACCTAGATTTCTAGGGAAATTTTACTTATTTATGAGATACACTGAAAGTAAGCAGTCCATCACTTCCCATATTGCAGGAGGAAGACAGGGTTCTCCTGATGCAAACACCAAGGATGCATTATCTGCTGTGGGGACCTACCTGTCCTAGACTGTCCCTCAATTACTGTCTTTTTTCTGTGGCTGTCACAGGTTCTGGATGGAAGAAAGCCCACAGGGGGCAAGCTGGAGGTCAAGGTGAGGCTTCGGGAGCCTTTGAGTGGCCAGGATGTGCAGATGGTCACTGAGAACTGGCTGGTCCTGGAGCCCAGGGGCCTGTGAGGTGGGTAGCTCTGAGCTCCAGATCTGCCTCCCTACTAAAACTTTTTTATTAGTCATTTCTGGGGAGAAAGCCTTTGATTTTTCTCCTCTTTGAAGGAGACTAAAGCAAAACTGTTGGGAAGCACTTGTAGGTTGTTTCTGAAGTTCTTTGGTAGACTTGGGGCAGGAAGAGAGCTTCTCAAAGTTAAGAAACCTTTTAAAAATCCAATGGTTTTCTTTGTGCTTTTGCCTTGTGAGGTGGTCAGCACTGGGAGATAATCAGCCAGCATTGGTACCAGCTCACTGACCCAGCGCTGCTGGCTGCAAGAGCCTCTGTACGTGACAGACGCTGCTACCCAAGCACCAAAGATCCACTGAACTAACCGTTGCCTGGGCTTTCCTCGAGCTGCCTTTTCTGGGCCTCCATGGAAGCAGGCCAGATCCTAGGAGCTTCTCCTACAGCCTTCCATTCCCCAGAATGTGGATGAAGACAAGGATACCCCCACTGCTCTGTGCCATAGAGTCCTATTGCCCCTTAACCTCTGCATAGTAATGATGTACAGTTTAACCCGGCCCCCACTTGTACCATTTCTGGATGTGCCTTTCAAAGATTTAACTGTAAGTGATGGGAAAACTTGAGGGTGATCGGTACCTTCCCTGCTTAGGGGAGGGACAGGATTCCGTGACCCAGCTGGTCAGTGGCAGCCTGTCCCGCCCAGCTGTTTTCCCCATGCTTGTGCCTTTGACCCTGACACCTGCTGCACTAGCCTTTCTGATTCCCAGCGGACTTGGGACAGGAAAATTACTTTGGTACTATTGGTGGGAAGGGGAAGGTTTTCTTGGTTTTGGTCCATGTAACTAAGATATTAACTGGGAAGAAAAGAAAAAAAATATCAATTTTATGTAGCCATTTTTATTTTAAAACTAGGTCTAATTCATTGAAAGGACTTTATATTCTAAGCAGTATCAGAGTCTTCAAATGCCCTGGCTCCCTGTCACTTTAAAAGTCAAATCAGTATTACCATGTGCCCATTGCACCCATGCATTTCTCTTGACAAGGCCTGTCCTCGAGCTGATCACTTGGCTAATCCCTGTTTGTACAAATTCTATAGCTTTTAGTGAATGGATGGAAATGAATGGACAGGTAGTTACAAGAGTTGATATTCACAAATTCTAGATTTCTCAGGAATCAACACCCCAACTCTTTCCCCTGTTTTAAAGCATTAATCTCAACAAAGTCTTCCTCCAGACTTACTTTTTATTTATTTTGGTTGTATGAGGCAGAGTCTCACTCTATAGTCCAGGCTGGTCTTGAACTCACAGCAATCCTTCTGTTGAAGCCTCCCTAGTGCAGGGATTACAGGCATGAGTGACCATGCCCGGCTTCCTCAAGATAATTTGGGAAGGCTCTATGTGAAGGAAGTACATTCAACAGTTGGTCACTACAGTGTTGCGTAAGCAGAGCTCAGGGTGAGCTTGTGTGTCTGTTGGAAATAACAGAGCTAGACCATGCTTCCCTGCCCTTAAGAGTTTATCAAAATTGTTAGTGGTATCATAAAGCAGAAACTAATGACAAAAGCCCTCTGGCCAATCTTACCTAGCAGATGTGAGTTCCTAATCTTTCATATATAAGAGATAGCCACATTGTGTGTGCAGCAGTAATTTGGAATGAAAGGGTCTCTTCCTTCATGAAGGAACCCAGAACAGAGGAGTGGCTGAAGAGTTTTGGTCCTGCTATACTTTCCTTACAATTTACACCTGACTGCTTGCTAAGATGAAGCACCCCTGGGTTATTCTCCAAGATTGCACTCAGCCCTAGGCATTTCTCACTTGACCTCTCTGCTGGAAGTGTTGTAGTGTTCTGAGACTTGAAGGATTTCCCTTTACAACTGGTTCTCTTTCAGTCCACTTGATTGCTCTGCTTATTGAAAAACAACCTCACGGCTGAGGGAGGCCTGACAAAGCCACCCCCTGGACTTGGAGACTGGGGTTCTTAAAGGTCTTTGTTGTAGCCAAGGAATGCATGGGTGGGGGAGGAGCTGCATAAAGCCTCATTTATGTAAGGTTTGTTCAACCACAGTAACCAAACATTGTTCATGGATATAACTAAGAACCAGCCACAAAATCATTTATAAATACTACACTGCACGTCCTTTGATTTACTGAATAAAATGCGAAATTTTAGAGTCAGGAAATTGTGTTCATGAAAGGCAAAGATTTGTAAGATTTTTTTTTTCCTTTTATGTAGTACCACTCTAAAACCTGTATGGTTGCTCTCCTAATTATTAAGGCTCCACCTACCACCAAGTATTTGTGGCATTCCCTAAAAGATCCTTGCACTAAGTGAGGTTAGCTGTTTTGAGTTTCAAACAAATCATAGGGCTGGGGTTGGTAGTCCCAGGAAGCATGTACCTGCTCTATTTCTAATGTGTTAAGGATCAAATGGATTCTTCCTTCTCTGGGTCTTAGATGCCTGGCCTCCAAGATGGGCATCAGTTCCATTCCTGCTCTATTCTTAGGTCCTATGTATATGACTCCTAAAAAATCCCATTATCATTATTTAATTTTAGCATTAGTAAAATAGAAGCTACTGTTAGAAATACATTAAATGCATAATTATCTTTCAGATGATCAAAGAGAAGTCTAATTGGAATTTGGGGGCCTACCAGCAGGACCCAATGTAGATGAAGAAAACAAGAGAATGGGACCTTAGATAATCCAATCATTCTGTCACTTTAAGTGCAGGAGGTATTGAGAAAGAGTTGATGAAAAAATGGAGAGTATCAGGTATAGTGGCATATTCCTATAATCCCAGCACTTGGGAGAAGGCAGGAGCATCAGAAATTGAATGTCATCTTTAACTAAATTGTGGGTTTGAGGCCAGCCTGGGCTACAAGAGAGCCTGTCTCAAAAAACCAGGAAATACATTATACAATATATGCTTACAAATACACTTCGTAAGCATATAACAATATTTTAAAACAAATTACCAGAATGCAATTCTGTTCTTCTGTGTAGAAGGCTCTATATTTATCTTTTAGGTTTAAATATAGAAAACCTTGCCTAATGAGGAATGTGATGTTTTAGCATTTTGCTTTATAATAGAAATTACAGTACACATTATATAAAACCAAAGTTAAAAAGGAGAAAAAAATGAGTATCCTTGATGGCATTAGCCCAATTTTCCAAAATGATTTTACTACACATAAAGGATATTTTATGAGTTAAGAATGTACCTGTCAAAAAAAAAAAATTACCTGTCTTTATGGCTCCAGAATTTGTCTTTTGTGGGAGGGTTAAAAACCTTGCATGTTCTGGAAGATCCATGTCCAACAGCAAGGTTGTTAGCTGGGCAGGAGGATGGGGCAGCTGCTGGAGAAGCACCCATATTTTGAAGTATATTCAGACTAATATAGTAGTCTGTATTGTAGTATTATAGGTTTGGGGATGGTTCAAGGGCTCTTTTCTTACAAGTTAATGTTATTTAGGCCAAAGGTTATTTCTGAGGCTTTGTACCTAAATGTAAGAGAAAGGTTGTGATCCCAGTTCTGTAGCTTCCATCAGCAAAACCTTTGGAGAAGCAGGTATAGAATGTAATCTTCACCCAGAAGAGAGACATGGTCATAGACAGACACATCTGCTAGGCCAGGCCTTTGGGCCTTTAGAAAACAGCTACTAACGGGCCAGGTTCAGCCCTAACCACAGAAGGGGGTGGCAGCAGCCTCCCACTGTCCCAGAGGCCTGCATTTGAGTACACTGCTTTTGCTATAGAGGAACTAGATCCTGTGTGGCCTGGGCTTCGGAAGATGCCATGGATACTAGAATCAGTTGCCCTAGAGCAGTATATTTCAAACTAAGAGAAATGCATTTGGCTTGTGATCAAAATAAATTTAACAGGAGCTAGAGGGATGGCGCAGAGGTTAAGAGCAGTGGCTGTTCTTCCAGAGGTCCTAAGTTCAATTCCCAGCAACTACATGGTGGCTTACAACCATCTGTAATGAGATCTGGTGCCCTCTTCTGGTGTGCAGGCAAACATACAGGCAGGATACTATACATAATAAATAAATTAATTTAAAAAATAAATTTAACAAAGATAAAGTCAAAGTGTGTCTGTCTTGAGTGAACCAATCCTTGGTTTCCTGTACTATTCTAGTTAAAGGGCTGCTTAGAGATAAACTGATTCCAAGCCTGACAGGTAAGTGCAAGATTAGTCTAGAGCATCCTGTTAGAGAAATAAATGTGTTGTGAAAGGGTGCAGGTGCCAGCCTGAAGAAGCTCAACTTACCCAAAGATGAGCTCACCTGAGTACCAAACTAGGAAGGTAGAACTCCACAAGACCAGCCTGAAAACTAAATGAATAACGGGGATGAAGGTAGAGCTTATTTGTTCATAGATTAAGTCCAGCTGGTAAAGAAAGGACATGCTGAAATTAGAAAATCATTTGGCAGCTGTCATAGTAAAAGATCAGTGCAGGCTAGAAACATCCATGGTACTAATTCTAAGGGAAATTCTGGGGAGCAAGACATTTGCATAGTCTGAAAAGTGCCTCTGCATATATTGGTTACTACTTTACAAGGGGACAGTAGACATGTTGAGCAGATACTGGTGAAATCTGCCACCGTCTCTGAGAAGCAGGAGGACATCAAGTGACTCTGGCTGAGAATGCAGTCAACTGTCATTGTCAGACAACAAACTCAAATGACACATTTTCTGCGAAAGCAAAACAAAACACTCAAAAAATACCCATGCCACAAAGAAAGCCAGCCCAAGAGCTCTGTGTTGTGCTTGACTCTAGGCTGGAGGGTTCACTGTTGAGGAAAGATTGCCAGGATATCACTGGGCAGGTATGAGGCTAAAGCCATCTGTCACAGTGCCAAGTTCTACTTGGGCAAGGGATAAACAGTTACTGTAAAGGGGTAAGGGACTCTGTTGTATGCACCTTAACCTGAAATACTTCAGTTTTACAGAGGAGGGAAAAAGGGAAAGCACTGACAAATCAATGGGCAAATGTTAGTGAGGCTGTGTAAGAGAGGACAGTTCTTTTCCTTTTTATATTTACAACTTTCCTGGAAGTTTAAGCAATTTCCTAGTAAAAGGTTTCTTAAAAATATTTCTAGTGTATAGTAAATAAAAACGTCTTGGGTGTTCTTTGCCAACGGTCACAAAAGGCTCATCTTACCACCTGCCATTCACTTAGGCATACAAACAGCCTGGTTTATACTGAGTTACCCTTCTGTGGCTATCAGAGAAACCCCTTTGGTTTGAGTCAGTCAGTAGTCTGAACAAATAAACACAAATCTAAATGTGACTTCTCCTTAGCAAGCAGCTGGGGTGTAACCAGGATGGTAAATGGAGCAGTGGAGTATTTTTTTTTATGTCAATTCTGTACAGGAAATGGAAAAGTGATGCTTCATTGTTTATTTCCTTTCTGCCCCCCCACCCTGACCTTGGAGATGGTTGTACCCATAGGAGCATTTCTGAGCACATGACCATAAGAGAGGAGCAGAATTCTTGTCTAGACAGTAACAGAAGAGGTTAGCTGCAAAGATAGCGTAACTGTTGTGCAGTAAGAAGCTGCCCGGTCTTGGAGAATGCATAGAAGACTTAAAATCATGGAACATCTGTCCCCCAACCACCCTCCCCACCCTTTTCCCCCACTCCCACCCGTACCCTCCCTACCAATAGTGTTAACAAAAGCTTAATCTTCCAGTTTTAAAGTGCAAATGATTTGGATATGACTGCTGTTGCAACAGGTCTGAACAGAAAAAAAACGAAGTCCTCATCTATGCGATGTTTTCCAGAATATAAAAGATGAGTTCCATGACGACAGGGCCCTCACTGAGTTGGCAGGCTCCTCCATGGATGACAGGCACCAAGGCACTGTCCAGATCGTTCATGTACTGAGACGGAAGGGGCTGGCCATTGCTCCCTGCTTGATAGCCAACCTATCAGAGAGAAGGGGTGACAGGTTACTGAACAGGAAAGATCTCTCCTTTGCCATGAGCTAGACACATGACAGTGCATACAAATTCTTCCTCTTTTTAACTGTGGTTCATCATTCTGACTTCTACTTATCCACCTTGGCCATTGACAGCTATGAGACCTTGGGCTAGTCCCTTTAATCTGGTGATGTCTATTTCCTGGGAAGAAAAAAAGATGAGTGAGATAATACTTCAGTCTCTGGTTGTAAAAACTCAAGTAGAGGAATATAACATAGCATTTATTCTTCAGCCCATGCAGTCATCAACACGCTACATTTTTAGCAACCGAAAACAGAAATTTAAAATTGGGAGAAAAATACTTGCTATCCATTTGTTCCACATAAGGGAGCCTCTATCTAGGTTGGTTATCAGTACGATGTGAGATGGAAGCATACTTCACTAATATACAGGAATTTTTTTCTAAACTGCATTTACTACTATGTGTATGGGTATGTGCATGCACCATGGTGCAGGCGCCATGACATGCATGCGGAGACCAGAGAACTTAGGAGTCCCATCTCTCCTACACTGAGGGCATGGGTTATAGGGATTGAACTCAGGTTGTCAAGCTTGGCAGCTGGATACCTTTTCCCACTGAGCTTGCGTTTTGTTGTTTTGAGATGGGTTTTTATATAACTCAGACTGGTCGTGAACTTGCTATGTAGCCAAGAATGATCTTAAGGTTCTGATCCTCCAGTCTTCACCTCTGGGATGCTAAGATACAAGTGTGCATCACTATGCTCAGCTTTGGTGCTGAGGACCAATTCCAGGGCTTTATGCAAGCCCCAGATATGCTTTCTTTCAACATAGGACAGAACCTTAAGTGAAAATAAACACTGGCTGATGATGAGTTAATGAAGTCAAACGCAGAACTTTTCACTCTGCCCTGATAATCTATTTGATTAAATACTGCACTGAAAGGCCAGATTTTTCTCCATGTAAGCACCCAGAGAGAATCAGCCTTGGAGCAGAATTAACTACTGGCTCAGAAGGAATTTCAACCTCTCACCTACACTCACGTTTTCTTTAAAAATAAACCTATATTTTTTTTAATATGTGTGACTGTTTTGTCTGTGTGTATGCATGTGCAGCATATGTGTGCTGGTGGCCAAAGAGTCAGAAAAGGTCGAGTCAGCTGGGCAGTGGTGGTGCACACCTTTAGTCCCAGCACTCAGGAGGCAGAGGCAGGCGGATCTCTGTGAGTTTGAG